CACCTGCACATTTATAAATATTTTATAACTATGAACGTATCATTGTAGAACAGCTTTATTCGCTTTGTTTATGCTTAAGATTTTTCATTTTGATATAGATGAAGAGAGAAATAAAGAAAAGTCAAACGAGGCACTAGCTTTTTCCTTATATGAAAAAAAAATAAGCTAAAAAAAGAACTACGTCTGCGCTAGAGACACGAAGACGATGGACCTGGGCATTGATGCTCTCGTGAAAGATGACAGGTAGCTTAATATGCGTTCCCTAACTGAATCCACATCTCCAGATAACGTGTTCTCACTTAGTCACGTCACAGACATCTTAGATCTACATGAACACACGATTCGTGACCTATGCTAGAAAGGTTAATTCACCGTGCCATTTTTCTGGTCAGAATTCATCCTTCACATTTTTGAAACTACCGTTCGTCTGAGAACTAAATATTGCTGCCATATCTGGTCTGATGCTCTTACTATATATCTCAAGATTCTTGAAAAAAAATCCAAAGAATGGTCTGTAATATAATCGATCCTGTCCTAACATCTCGATTTCAGTCACTTTCCCAGCGGCGTTACGTGGCTTTTCTCTGTCTTTCCTATATATTCTTTCATGGCAATTGTTCTTATGAGCTGTCCACCTTACCTCGACTCCATCAATTGAAGCGTAGTACTAGATTGGCAATTAGGTCTCACGATTTCACTATTGAACTAGCTAGATATAAACGTAAGTTCTATTCTAATAGTGTATTTTCTTGCACATCACATCTGTGCAACTCTCTTCCAGTTTCTTGCTTTCCTTCCATCTATAATCTTCAAATATTTAAATTCAATTCACCATCTTCCGTCTTCCTGACATCCGTGCTTTTATTGTCCTTTCTCACTAAAGTCTTCTTATTCTCTTTCACTTCCAGTGACATAATCGCCTTGCTTAATATATATATATATATGTGTGTGTGTGTGTGTGTGTGTGTGTGTGTGTGTGTGTGTGTGTGTCTGTATCTGTGTGTGTCTGTATCTGTGTGTGTTTGTGTGTTGAATAGTGTCATATAAACGCAAATCTTTCTCCGGCACTATTCAGCTTTACTTCTCCGTGGCTGAGGCGGTATTATCACATCGGATCTAACGACGACCTTTCCTGCTAAGGGAACACCGGGGAGCGCATATAATAATAATATTATATCCAGGCCGGTAGATTAAAATAAATATATTCTTTAATAAATAAACGGAGGTTCTACTCAAATAGGGGTCCCTACTAAAAAGTAACGCTTAAGTAATAAAATCTGTCGGACTAATAAATTAAAAAAAATCCATTACTTCTTTAGAAATTGCTTTATTTACGTTAGGATACGTAACAGGGCAGATATGAAAGTCGGAAAATATTTGGGTTTATAAGGCACTATTAAACTTTCCATGATTGACAACCGATTTCCTGACAGAGTCGATAAAGAGCACGTCGGATCTAACGACGGCAAAGGGGACATAGGTTCATATATATATATATATATATATATATATATATATATATATATATATATATACTACTTTTTTCCATACATATTTATGATTAAAATTAATTTATAAATTAGTTCCACTGAGAGATTAACAACAATGATTAATTATACAAGAGAACCATTATAACAACATACTGGAATAAATGTTATGTGATAAGGTTGATACCAATCCGAATGGAATGAATCGAAATACACCTCCTTCCCAAACTTTTAAACAAGACATACAGATGCATGACGCGAATGATAGGCGACTTTTCGATCTTATCCGCCATATTTATGTTTTTTCTTGTCTTGAACTCAGAATGTAGCAATCAATTGCCTGTATCCCCTTTGCGTGTTAACACCATTCTTATTTTGTGGATCTTTTTGGCTTATTACTGTTGTTTTGCCTACTTTTGTCCTAGATATATTGTTGGGGCCTTGTTAAGGCTAGAAATAAAGTCACAAAGAGAGGAATTGAGTTAAACAAATATATTAACAGAAACAGCAACACAAACGAGAGTGTTACAGCAAGAATGTTCGGTCCCACTGTTAGAGCTGACTGCTGAAAACTTCCCTCTCCAAAAAGCAGTACCTGCTCCTATTTATATCTGGCGTGCGTGGGTAAATTACCATAACACACACACACACACACACACACACACACACACATATATATATATATATATATATATATATATATATATATATATATATATATATATAAATCAAATTGGTCAGCATATTCTTGCCAGTATAAGACTAGGTGGTTCGAGCGACACTTTGAGGGTAACTCAGTTTACACATGATTCGGCCATTGGCCAGCACTTACTTGACAACTCAGACTGTGCAATATGCGAACAATTCTGTCAGTTTTGCACAGAGCTCGGTCCGCTCATCATTTACGTCACCTTGAAGCGGTCCATATTAAGTTACATCAACCGACTCTGTGCAAACAGAAGGAGAATTTCATTCGCTCCATTAATCTTTTAGGCGACTCGTGGGTACTATTTTTCCATTTTATACTCAATTGGAACTAAATATTTTATTCGTAAATCATTTTACCAATAAATATGTATATTGTCTACTAATTATTATTTTACCCTGTTCTTTTCTTTCTTTTTTTTCTTATTGTTTATTGGCTACTTTGTCTGTTGGACATTTCTGGCAATTACATTTAACCATAGTCAATTACTCAGCAGAAAGTTAGATTAGTTTTTACTATACATTTTATCTCGACATAATTTTTTTTTTCTTGTTAAGTCATGAACTTTCATCATTTCACGTAAAAGAACACCTTACAGCTTTTCTTTGGCACATCCGAAATATCAATATGGTATTCTTGAACTGTGGAATAATTATTAAAATTTATGAATTGTTTATTTCCGGCTTTCATAGTGGGTGACTGTAGATAAGGAAGCACCACTGTGTCTACACGGTGAAGTATCTTTTTTAACCATTTACGTTGCTGGATATTAGAAACTATCCTTTGATCATGCTATCCATGACTCTCTTAGGACAAATAATAGAAATCAACTGAATATATTGCAATATTTACTAAGTTTAGCTGAGCCTAACAGATCACCAAATGAAGAAAACTGTGTTGCGCCAATCGCTACGTTCGAATTCATAACTTTTACTTGCACTCGGACCCCCACCAAAATACGAAACTATTTCAGCCACAAAACAGAACAGCTTTTTTTTTAAACTGATGTTTATTCATTTCACGTAGCTTACACACTTCAAGTTGAAACGCATGCGCGTAGGCGAATGATCATAAAATGAACAGTAAACCAATGGTCAAGACTCATTCAACCAAGCATCATATAACATAAATATGGGTGGGGTAAGGAATCGACCCTCATGTCGGTAGCAAAAACCGATGAATGTCGGATTTTCTATGGAATTACCCACATGAAAGAAGATCTCAGATCCATCCGGCAGGGAGGCCTCTGACCGGAAGATTGGAGATTTTGAGGAGCGTGGAATCATCTCTTAACCGTTGTTGTTGGCTGGTCCACCCTGATCCGGGGTGGTAGCACCTGTTAGGGCCCAACCTATAGGCAAATAGTGAACGCCCAAACTAAAATCGAAATACTAGGAAACTATAAAAATACATTTTTATAAACAAATAAATAAATAATTACCCACAATGCATTTTAAAAATGACCAGCAATACATTAAAAAAATGATCAATACATTTTTATAGTAAAACTGAAGACATGGTAGACATTGCCAAAAATAAAAATAACATAAAAAAACAATTTGTGATGATTAATCTCATTTCTTGTAAGGAGAACCAAGTCTTCACTTCTCGTTAGATTTTAAAAGATTTATTTGGTTTAAAAGATTATTGGGTTTAAAAAAATGCAGCTAAGCAATTATAATTTAATCATGAAATAATGTCATTCTCTTGAATTGATTATAAAGTTGGAATTTCCATATTTAGATTTTGGTATTAAATAACCCTTACAGCATTACTCGCACTGTTATCCTCATTTTCATTGCCATATTCACAACGTTTCGGCCTCTATGTCTCTGAGATGAGGTATTATGCTTATTTGCATTATTTATATTATTCGGACTGTTATCCTCATCTTCATTGCCATATTCACAACGTTTCGGCCGTTGTACGCTCCAGCCTTCTTCGTGTGAATTTCGAACAGAACCCTTTATTTCGTCCACTGGGGTAGATTGTTCTAGTTCCGCGTGCCATGCCTCTTTTGGGTGTCACTGTTATTTTCCTTTAACTCAATTCTCCAAGGTTTGGTTCTCCACTGCTGTGACCTGGTACTGAACTTACAAGTCTTTGGGCTTAGTCAATAATCTAACCAACGTCTTTATCCACTGGACAGATAACCCATACGGGTTAATATGCCGCTAAACAAAAACAACCCAACCAAATATCAGATCCTCTTTTGCATCTTGTGTGAATGCAAAACAAAGTAAAATCTCTATATTAATACCATTGTACCTACCTACCTACCTACCAACCTACCTACCCGTAATATCTGTCTACCTTCGCATAGTGTCTACCTTCCCATAGTGTCTACCTTCCCACAGTACCTGCTTTCTCATAGTATCTGCCTACCTTCCCATAGTATCTGCCTACCTTCCCATAGTATCTGCCTACCTTCCCATAGTATTTGCCTACCATCCTATAGTGTCTACCTTCCTACAGGAACTCCTTTATCTTCTTATATTATCTGTCTTCCTTTCCAGGCTTACGGCCATGTCACGTTGAAACACCGGTCCCTGTACGATCATCGAAGTTAAGCAACGTCGATCCCGGTCAGTACCTAGATGGGTGAATATTCAGTTTAAATACAGGAGACATAAAAGTGACTTTAAAGGACCGCATATTTCGGCTTATACTCTTTTCCTGTTAACCAGGGGTTGTTGCCAGATACAAAGGGAGATTAGACCCCGTTACAGTCCATTTTAATTCCATTCAAATTACGTCTGTGAGTAAGTGTGGGTGCGCATGCGTATTTCAATTCAATGATAGACGGCTTACGGCGATATCACGTCGAAACATTGGTTCCCGTACGATCACCGAAGTTAAGCAACATTAAATATGGTCAGTACCTAGATAGGTGACCGCTTGAGAATACCAGGTGCTTTAAGATTGGATGTGCGGGTGGTGTAATGGATAATGGCTCGGAATTGTTAATCGGAGAACAGAATTCCAATTCCTAGCGGCTTCATTATATTCACTTACGTGCAAATACCCTTCCGTGCAAATACCCTTCCGTGCAAATACCTTTACATGAAAATAACCTTCTCTCACCTGCTATGAGTTAATTACTAAAATTTGTATAGCTAAACCATTATTATCTCAAAAAAATTCTTAGAATCTAAAAATATTTTCTGGTTTTAAATAACCTGCAAAGGGTTGATAAGCTGTAAAAAATGAATCAATCAATCAATGTCTCCCTTTCTATTGTATCTGTCTATATATTCCTGTTTTCCCATAGTATTTATCATTCCATAGTATCTGTCGACCTTCCCGTAGTATGTGGATATCTAACCATATCTGCCTACCTACCTATAGTATCTACTTTCCCATAGTATCTGTCTACCTTCCCATAGTATCTACATATCATCATATAGTGTCGACCTTCCTATAATAACTCCATATCTTCTTATAGTATCTGTTTACCTTCCATTAGTATCTACTTATCGTCCAGTAGTATCGACCTTCCTATACTAACTCCCTATCTTCTTATAGTGTCTGTTTACCTTCCCATAGTATCTACCTATCGTTCTATAGTGTCGACATTCCTATAGTAACTCCTTATCTTCTTATATCTTTTATTTTATTTTATTTATTTCTTATTTTTTTCTTTTTTTTTTTCAATGGGTATGTTGTTTTTTTTTTTAGCTTTAATGGTAGTATTAGCAGTTTCCCTGGGGTACTCAAATAATACCTTGCGCCAGATGTATGGAAATCTGGAACACTTTGTTTAAGGTATGTTAAATTCAACAATTTTATTTTAAAGTAGGCCATATTAACCGCGTGAGTTAACTGGGGTTTAAGAAAAAAAGAAAGAAAAAAAAACAAGTCATTTGCTTTATACACCGAGATGATATTTATTCTCGAATCTGGCAATGTAATTCTGAGAATGATCTACAAAGGCAAATATATTTGACAACACGGAACATTCTATCCCCCCCCCCCACCGGGCTGCAGATACTTTTTACGCTAAATATCGGTCAACAATATTATTATTATTTTAATTGTTATCGACGCGGAAAGTAAAATTGACATTTATGCCCTTTGGAAAAAAAAACTTGAATACATCATTTTTCTTTTCAGCTATAGCTGAAATATTAGGGTAGACTAGATTCTCTAGCCTTGGTGAGTAACAGCCAGTCTACCATAACTTTAAAGCTATAGAGAAAGTGACGGAAGACACTCCACTATCTTTCCCAAGAAGTTATGGCTATTCTATTCACAAACAATAAGGGAAGGAAATCAGTGGAGGATCACAATCGATAATAATATGGTCATTTTTGATGGGTACTATGCTAGTTTTATTAAAAATCTATTTTTGTTCATACCTTTTAAAAAGTTTGTTGTTTCGTAACGTCTAACGACACTTAACTGAAGCGACATAACAATTCAAAATATGTGGCATGATTTTTCCTCCATTTTGTTTTTCAAGAATAGCTAAATTTAAATATTAGGTTTGTTTTTATTTACGCATTTACTAAACCAAACTTAGTACGGGAAAGGATCAAGCAGGGATGAATAGAAAGATAATAAGATTCTATTGCGCCATTCATACTGTTAGAAGACTGCATTATGCATTCAAAATATTTACTTCTATATCGTCTCAAACAACACTATGAGGCCGATAGCGAATACACAGAAGCAGATTCAAAAACGTAAGCGTCTTGTTTGGGTTGTATAAATGTCCAATAAGCTGGGTTTTTACATCATTAGTAGTGAGTTCGATCTTCGTTGCGTGTCACATACTTGTAAAGTTGTACAAAAAAAAAACAGGTGCGAATTTAATCTGGCTTTAAAAAAAAACTAAAAAAAAACCCAAAAAAACTAAGTGTGACAAGCACGAAACGTGGATCGAATCCCTTACCGTCAGCAAGATTACTAGCCGATACTGAGGCGTTTTATTTAGATACCCAACTTCCATTAGTCTGGTATGAGGCCACAAGAGTTGAGCACTCAGTGAAGAAAAACGAACTCACTGAATTTTTACAGTTTTAGCTTCCTTTCTGCTATAAAGCATTTATAAGTTTTAGTATTAGGTTGGTGCAAAAATAATGACGTAATGATGTCGTTTTTTGACGTTAAAAAAATACGTCCAAAAACGACATTATTTTTGCACCAACCTAATAGTTTGGCCCTAGCTCACAGCACCAACTGAGTCTCGAACTCCTTATTTAAGGAGTTCAAACTTCATTTTGATACTTGTTGATTGGCAATGCGGCACATTTTCGAATTTTACGAAACCAGATAAAGGAAGAAAGAAACAGGACGATTGTGTTGCATAATGCGGCGGGGTTGGTGTATTTGCCTTAAAAAGTCAGCATTCGAAAGTCGTGGTTTTATTTGAATATTAGCTTCTATTTCCCCACCCACAGGAGCCAGGAAATACGCGACAACTTCAGCCTTTAAAACGAATTCTAAAGTTACATTTTCATTTTATTATTGCATACAAATATTACCTTTTGTTTACCGACAGGTAGAGCCGGTACGAGGGTTTCCTGTGCACTCCCACCTCCGAATCTACGATACAAGGCTCTCTTCTTATATCTCAATATTCATAAGGTAGTATTCATAAAATACAGATTTTTGTAAACGAATTATGTACAATATTGGATCATTATGCAATATAAGTGAATAATTCAAGTAGAAAAATAGAGATCTGTCATAAATAAATCAACAATGATTGCACCAATTTTTATTTTTAATATCAACTTGAGAATTTTCCTGTTAAGTTGAATAATTTTTTTAACACATTCAAGTTCAACATTTTGGATTTTTTTAAAAAAGTGCATTTCATAGTGTTTTTTTCAAGACTTATTCACGATCTACAGAATGACGTCAAAATCCGAATTTTTTTCTATCTTTTAGTTTAATTTGTAAAGTAAATAATTGTAAAAAAAAAAAAAATATGCAGCAAATGTTGATAAGATAACAAAGGTCACAAAGAACTGCCCGGGGCCCCCAATCAATACTACCCCCGAACCCACTGCTGACACAGTATACCAATTACTAGTTTTGAATCTGGAGGTTTTGTTTCTTATTAGTGAAATTTTAAAATGTTCTTACAGCACCAACAACTTTATTGTGCTTGTTGTAACCACAAAGAGTGAAAACAGACTTTTTCTCGATTTCCAACGTTTTAAAAATCTAAAATTTCACATATTCATAAGAAAAAAAAACAAACAAAAATAGTCATTTAAAAGCGTCAGCTGTTTACCTTGATTATCATTATTAACTACAAAAAAAAAAAAAAAATCCCCAACATTTGTCTCCCCCATCGCCAGTCAACACCTACTCCAATTATTACCAGGTCTGTCAATAAAAAAGATAAAAATCACAAACTTGGACCAACCTAGAAACTACTACTACTGTGTAATGAAAAATGTTTGTTTTTTTTGTTCTTTTAAAGTAGTTAGTTACTAGTAGTCGTAGTGTGTTACTGTTGTGAAATACTTTTGTCTTGCTCAATAAAAATAACAGAGAGGAAAAAAATAAAGTCAAGTAATTGCAGAAAAAGGCGGAAACTCCCACAATCTCGGTTGTGTGTATGTGTGGGCAAAAAAGAAGAAAAAGCAGCTATGAATTGAAAAGGAAGGAAGGATTGGCAGAGTCAGTGGCTTGTCTCTAATAAAGCACGTCCCTAAAAAGCTTTCTTGCTGACATGCGCACGAATACATCCATAATCAGAATATAGTCCAACATGTTCCAAGTTTGAAACAGCACTATCAGACGCTTCACTAACAACACAGGTTGATTATTATTACCACTGGAACAGATTTCCTCTCTTGTGCGCAGCGACTCTTTAATGTTTCGGCTTTAAACAACTTTTTCTGGATTGGAGAGTCCTACTCGGGTGGCTCGGAAACAACGAAACTGAATAGAAAGGGGGAGATATTAAAGGAGAAAGAGAGGAAAAAGGAAAGAAAGAGAGAAGGGAAAGTGCTCGTAAGTGTGGCTAGACGTACTTTACAATTTCTTCTGTTGGATATTTTAGTGGCGCGGGTTTAGAAGCTGGCCTGAGCGCTTACTTTGACATCTGGAAACTAAAAATTTGTCTACGATTTTTACATTGTTGTCAGGATATCCTACGGTATTGTAAGGGTAAGTTTTCTTGTTTTTTTTTTTTTTTTTAGCAGTAACTCAGCTGTCTGCATCTAAAACGTTTAAGACAAAATCGGGTCGTTTCCCGATACTAACAGGCAAGCAAGCTCGTTCAATTTTACCACACCGGCTTAAATGCCGCAAGACGCAGCTAAATTTTATTTTTATATTTATAAAGTTACAGTTTACCTATTGATCGCTTCTTTATTTGGAATGTCGATTTTGTAAAAATTGTTTTACGCGAGTAAACTAAAAAAATTAATGACTCTTAGTAGTAATTCTTGTTGCAGAGTTGAAGTCGTGACTGTCCTCTATTCAACTCCACTGAATTTAAATAATTTCTTTCGTAGTTAAAAAAAAAAACAAATAAATTGGGAAATATCATTTGTCTGATATAATTATCGCTTATGCATGTAACTACAATGTGTGCGTAATTTGTGAAACTTGAATTGGAAAGCCTGTTGAAATTAAATAAAAACTAGTGCCCCCTCCATCTCACGAATTGTTGTTTTTTTTATTATTATTACTTTAGCCTATTTTCATATTAAAGTATTTAAAAACTGTCATAGGGTATAAAAAAATAACTTCAATTTTCTTTTCTTATTTTAAAAGAAAAAAAACTGCCTTGCATGCAGTCAGTGCGTGAAATTAAATGCACATTACAATTACTACATGAACTTTTTTTTTTTTTTTTGTCTCTCCTTTGACTGAAGAGTTAAGACCCCTAGTCGCAAATACACGTATCTACGTAACTAAAACTATAGATGTATGCTAATAATCGACCCATCTACCGTATATCCTATCCATATTATTATTATTATTATTACATAAACTCAGAACCTCTTTAGTCACCCGGTATTTTTTTTTTTATTTCGTTGTTCTGTCACAGGTCCGTTCTAAGACTTCTGCTGCCACTAACACTCGTTCTTGTCACACAACAATGTTGAAATTTTTGAAAAGGAGCTATCCTAAGGATAGCGAAGAGCGAGAGAAATTGAAAAAAGAACTGTTCGTTTTCACACGGGTGAGTGCTTCATTCTTTTTCTTTATTTATAAATCCATGGGTGGTGGGAATTAATTGTTGCAGGGTCGGGGACTGATTTTTGCAGGCTGTTTTTGTAGTAGTAGTTTAAAATGGAAGCCATGTTGTCTGGATATTTAAGTGAGTCAGTCATTGGTTTCATTTAGTTGGCTTTTATTTTTTTAAAAACCTTTTTTTTTCTTTTACTCTTGACTGCCTGCCTTCTCCCTTCACAAGCACAAAAAAGGGGACATCGTTTTTAAAACGTCACTTATCCCCGAATAATGCGGGTAAACCTTTCTGCAGTTAGCAAATGGAAAACCTGATAGGAAAAGCTTTAAAAATTAAATGTCCATCTGTGAAATCGATTGCAGTCGGTGTTTTAAAACAAACAGGAGAAATTTTTATTTTCAGTATTTTTATTTTTAAATATAGTGCTGTCAAAAGTTTAGAATAAGGCACGTTTGCAATCTGATGCATGCATGAGACGGGAAAGCAGTTCAGTAGTTTTTAAAATGATGAAACTGCTGTAGTAGTTCGTTGCATGATGATTCCCGCTTCTCTTCCTCTTTGCTGACAGAAAAAAAAAATCATATTTTGTCACTTTGTTTGTATGGTTTATTGATCCAGGAAAAAAATACTACTCTCCCAATCTGGATTAATTAATTGTATTCATGTCTATATGAAAAATTGTTATTTGTTAATGTAGCACTCACAAGAAGACTCGTTATATACCAATTTTATTTACATTTATTTAAATTTCCTACTTAACTTACCTGTTCGCTTTCATGTCTTGAATTGTCAACAAAGTGACTCAGCTCTCAAACCATTCTTAATTTTAAACAACTGATTTTTTTTCTTTACTATTTGTTTTAACGGCTAAAGCTACCTGTTGCTTTTAATTTTCCACATACCCATGTCTTGAATAACGTTCCAAAAACTTTTTTCGGGCTCCCATTTGAGCTAGTTTTTAGACTTTAAAAATCTGATCACTAAAAAAAAGCAATTTTTAAATTGCTGATAATTAAATTGTATATATGGAAAAGGGAAAATACTATTTAAAAAAAAAAAAAAAAAAAAACTGAATTCAGTCTTCCGCACTTTTAATGCGTAAAAAAAAAAAATTAAACACCCCTTAAAGTTCAAAAATGTAGATTTTTTTTTGCTTTTTAAATTGAATATTTAAATATTTTTTCAAGTGCCCGCTAAAACAAAACAAAAAAAAAACTTATCGTTTCTCTTATCGAAGTGAGCCATTTTCTCGCCTCCTCTCCTTTGACTTCAAAACAGCTGTAGTAAATTAATAGATCAATAAATACTCATCGCCATTAAACAATCTGCCCCCCCCCCGCACGCACACACGTTTTAAACATAATTAATTGCCTTTCGAGTCTCACATATCTTTATTAAAAAAAATGCAATTATTAAATAGTTAGTTGCCTGGCAGCAGTAGTGGAGGAAGATTCCCACTTAATTGACGTGAATATTTGTCGCATAATCACGTGAGATATATGCTCAAGATGCCTTTCTTGAACGGTAACAGCATTCAATTCATTAATTAAATAAATTCCTTTATTTCACGTCACGAAACAAGACCTTAGTTTACCAGCTCCTCTCAAGTTGGTTTATGAAATTTATCTTATTCAATGTATATCTTTGTCCCCTGGATTCTTACTAAATTTTTTTTTTAGTGTAAAAAAAAAAAAAAAATTGGCCTGACCCATTCTTCTTGTATTAATGATTGCCCCCTTAATTGTCTTCCTATTCGAAGAACAGTAAATGACACCAATCATTTAGTTGGTAGGTGAAGGGAATATTTAATTTAAGTCGCTTTCCTCTTTTCACAATCATTAATTTTATCATGAGCAAAATAACCCGATGCTGATCGAACGGGTCACAGAATGTTGCAATAAATGGGGACTTAAAAAGAATGCACCTGTTGTCAGATTGACCCAAAATATTGCATTTTAATTTAAAATATTAATCCCCTGCCAGCTGATCAATTTTTTTTCTTTTTCAAAAATGTGTAACCAATTTTCGAGTAGTGCAAATTGCAGCAAATTCCTTCGAATTTCCCACGCGTGTCATGAATATTTTATCGCTATTGGCAGTTATTAAGAAAAGGAGTATCAACATGTCGTTATAACGCTCTCTTGAATGTCAGTAATTAGGGGAAAAAAAGTGAACGTAATTGGTATAGTAATTTAAGCAAGCAATAAAAATCCGAGTACTTGCATTTATGCTAAACATGTTCGGCAAAGGAGTAGTGTGCGGTAACCAGAAACTCTTCAGAAATACTAACATTGAGTGAATGTTTTCGTGGATCTTCAAACAGGCTAGTCCACTGGATATGTAATTATTTAAATTTTAAATGCCAATACTTTCCTCTGCTACCTAAATAGTAATCAGTAATATATGCAACCAATACTTATTTAGTGCGTCGTGTTTCTATTTGCAATAATTCTTATCTAGTCAAAGCAATCTTTTGACGTCATATTGACTTTTTTTTTTCTTTTTTTTTTTTTCCAAGTTCTCTCTCCGTAGGAAACCTTTGCGTTTTCGACTATTATGCCAAATACAGTAGTAGTAAATTTTATTTTCTCCTAAATAGATGTTCGTTTCCCAGAATTTAATTTAAGACCACCGAACTGTATTTTCCCCCTGAAGCAATGAGCTCAAATACTGGATTATTTTTGTGAATTGATGCGTTTTTAATTAATCTTCTCCTCTTTCAGTTCATCTCAAAATTTAAAATTACTCCCACACCCGTACCCGTATTTTAATGATTTTTTTAAATTGAATTCATTCTAGACTTTTCTGTTCATAACCGGTCGAAGAGTAGCGCCTCGTTCTTTAATCATTTTTTTTTTTTTTTTTTTTTTTTTTTTGAGGGGGGCATGGTAGTTCTGTGCCGTGTCTCTTCATGACGTGGGCGAACATGGCTCCCAGAACCTCCTATCCCTTGTGGTCCTTAGAAATATATCTTTGCCACTCTATCCCTCGTTCCGCCAATCATCCATTCACACAAGCAAGCTCGTCAGGTGCAGTTGGTCCGCTGCCTCTCTCTCGCATATATATATATAATATATATATATATATGCGCGCGCTCTGAAAGTTCTCCAAGCCTTCTTTCCTCATCTGTCCAATATTCTTTTACCATTTTCTTGAAGACGTTCCCGTTGCTTACTCGCTCCGTCCGTAGAATTCTCGACATTCTTCTGTCGAATTGGTCTACCATTTAGTTTTACTTTTCTCTTCCTTCATCTGTGTCGAGATTGTCCAACATTGATAGCAATTCACTACTTAAATGAATGAATGAATAAAATAATAAAAATATTTCTCTAGTTCAAAATTACGAAAAGGTCCGTTCGGTTTTGGCTAAAATAAGTCTTTATTAAATGAATTTGGGAGGAGACTTTGACTCTTAGTCTTTGTCTCTCCACTTATGTTGAAAAAGTTTTTTTTTTTTTTTTTTTTTTTTTTTTTTTTTTGCTACTTGCTAAATTCAAACGTGGCATTCCTAATTGTGCTGTAATAAAAGGCTTCTTATCCCTTTTTCGTACGATGGGATATTAGGACTAAATCTTTTTTTTATTACTGCTGCTTAATAAATTAATACAATAATAATAGCCATGTCCGTTTTAGGAGGATCGGGTTAGTGAGTTCGTTCCCTGAAAATTTCTGGATGCTATTTGAATTTTTCCAGTAGAATTTTCTTTTTATTTTATTTTTTTCAACCCCGAAATAACTTTTCTTTCAGTGAAAAACGATTTTTTTTTTTTTTTTTTTTTTTTATATTAAGCAACCGTAAATGACACTTCGTCTCGCCACACCTGTTTTTTTTTTGTTTTTTTTTAATTTTTTGTAATAAAATTATAAAAGCCTGAAAACTTAAAATATTTTTTCTTATTTATTCGAAAACCTCAAATTTTTTTTTTTTTTAAACTGATTTATAAAGAAAAATTCTACGATAAAGTTTGTAAAATTCATTCAAATTTTAATGAAGACCTAAAAATCGCTGATGCCGACCCAATCGACGGGATTTCATCGTCAAAAGAAAGAAAATAGTTGAGACAGGTTCTGTAGTTTTGTGGTGGGAGATTTTGCTGAGGACATAAGGTATGTTAAAGCTCGAGGAAAAAAATTGATAAAAATTCCTTAATATCAATGTAGGTCAGATTTGTACACAATAACTATAGGTGGGTCACGTACTACCTTTTTTTGTATTTTTTTTTTTTATACATAGATGAGCTTTCTACTGTCTTTTAGTACTTTTTTTTTTCTTGTATCTATGGAAGGAATATTCTCGTTGAGTTTGCTTTGAAAGTGATACCTGACACTGCACGATTCTCTGGGTACTGCAGTACACAATGTTTACAACACGTATCAGATGATTGTACAATTTTTCTTTCTCTTCTAAAAGATATTTGACATGGCTTTTTACAAATAGTTACTAAAAATATTTGGTAATGAATTTTGAAAGCATCTAGAAACTTATTGGCATCTTCGCTTCATTTCCCCGCCGCCGTAATGTAGCTTCCCTGTGCCTTTTCTGTAAATATTTTCGTGGTAATTGTTCTGAAGAGCTTTCCTCTGATGCCTCGACTTTATGAATTTAAGGTAAGCGCAGTACTAGATTGGCGTTCGTTAAGGTTTACAGTTGAAATGGTTATATAGCCATACTTCTTTAATAAGTTTCTTTTTCGCATTTGTTTGTGGAACTGTACTTGATTTCTAGCCAGCTTTGATCTTCAAAAAAACTAATGCCATGTTGATTATTATTATCCACTCTTAATTCCTGTTCTTTTCTTTTCTCCGCCTCCCTAGTGTTTGTGTTTTTTTTTTGTTTTTTTTTTTTTCCTCTCATTTTATCAGTTGGTAACCTCTTGCGTTTTAGGGCCTTGATTAGGGCGGAATGATTTAAAAATAAAATAAAAAAAAAAAAAACCTACTTGAACTGAATTGTTAGGTTTTATAATTGGAACTCTGTTTTATAGAATCCGGTGTCTAAATTACCTCCTGCTGGGGTGCGCCCCCCCCCCCCTCATAGTAAAGGG